GTATATGCATATGTATATGTATCTGTATCTGTGTATGTGTATCAGAATGTATATGTATGTGTATTCTTATTATCTGCAAAGGTAAATATGCTTTTGTCGCAGTATATGTATACGTATACGTATACGTATGCGTATATGTGTATGTATATATATATATATATACATGCGCATATATACTCACACTTTTGCGTACCTATGCTTGTATACTGTTGTCAGAACTGTACGCCCAGTGTACTGGCGACCGGGTACTTGCTACCTACGCAAGCCCGATCTCTTCAACCCTAGGCCCTAAGTGCGTGCGGGGGTTGATCTAAGTTACTTGCTGGTTCATGAGTACTTAGGAGAATAAGTACGGTTAGAAGTAGGGTAACCATGGTTATAACCTTATTCAGGGTACTTACAACTCTTTAGTTGTAAGTAGCCATGAGCCTCCAAGTATGGGCCTTCGCATTCATTCTCAGGCCTCAAGGCCCAACCCAAATTCACACGATTTACATGCTTCATGTGTCATATGCTATATTTTTGGAGTAGTATATAGGTTTAGGGTTTAGGGTTTAGGGTTTAGGGTTTAGGGTTTAGGGTTTAGGGTTTAGGGATAATCATGTTTCATACCTCCAGGAGGTGGCAGCCTTTGCGGCGACCGAGCGACTCCTGGGTCCTTCTCGGATAGCGTGGGGAGTTGGGGGCCCAGACTTCGGGGGTTTAGGGTTTAGGGTTTAGGGTTTAGGGTTTAGGGTTTAGGGTTTAGGGTTTAGGGTTAGGGTTTAGGGTTTAGGGTTTAGGGTTTAGGGTTTAGGGTTTAGGGTTTAGGGTTTAGGGTTTAGGGTTTAGGCTTCAGGGTTTAGGGTTTAGGGTTTGGCTTTCCTTTATGGAGTTTAGGGTTTAGGGCTTTGGTTTATACGTTTCAGTGCTTTGTGCTGAGGGTTGGGTTTTAAGACTGAGGGTCTTAGGTTCGCCTCCTTTTTTTGTTCATCCTACAGTAACCTAACTTTTACAAGTCTGGAGTCTGCGGTGTGTACGTCCCTTAAGGTAGTTACATGGTCCCTTAGTATGGGCCCTTGAAAGGGGAACCCCTTCTGAACCCGGTAAGGGGCCATATTAAGGGCCCAAAAAAACTACCCTTAAATACACGTAACTAAACCTTAGACCCTAAACCCTAAACCCTAACAAAACCCTTTCAGGGCCCATAGTACTTTCAGAATCTCTCAGGCAGCCAATGGCTATCACAGACATTTCGGTTCCCAAGCGGTCGGTGGACATGTGGACCCCCAAACCTCAAATCCGAAGCCTAAACCCTCAACCCTAAACCCTAGACCCTAGACCCTAAACCTACCTTTTCATAGCATCGCCCTCAAGCCTCATCGCTCAACCCTGGCGATTTGCTCGTGGCAGGAACTGACTGAGTCGTGCCGGAAACCCGAAACCCGAAACACGAAATTAAGCCTCACCGGTTTACTACTATTTGCTTTAGAACCTCACAAACAAACCACAGGTTATTCTTCCTCATTGAGGGTTTAGGGTCCTCGTTGGTTCTTTGGTTGTTCTGAATCAAACAGTAGTTTAGTGTTTTGGGGCTTACTTAGAGTACCCTACATAGCCGAAAGGTCGATCCACCCCTCGCAAGGCTCAAGGTAGCCCTAAACCCTAAACCCTAAACCCTAAACCCTAAACCCTAAACCCTAAACCCTAAACCCTAAACCCTAAACCCTAAACCCTAAACCCTAAACCCTAAACCCTAAACCCTAAACCCTATCAAGCTCCGCCATGAAGCTCCTCTGGCGATGTGGGATCCGGCATGCGCGCACACCGTGGAGCCATGTCCGACCGGGAAGTTGGCTCCTAAACCCTAGCCCTAAACCCTAAACCCTAAACTAGCCCTAAACCCTAAACCCTAAACCCCAAAACCCTACACTTCAAACCCGAAACCCTAAACCCTAAGCATAAGCCTCAACCCTGACTTTGAAGTCCAAAGCGGTTCCGCAAGGCCGGGGTTTCTAGGGTTTTGGGAGGGGTTCGTTCTCTCTGTTCGGGTTTAGGGCTTTAGGGCTTTAGGGCTTTAGGGTTTAGGGTTTAGGGTTTAGGTTTGGTTTAGGGTTTAGGGTTTAGGGTTTTAGGGTTTTAGGGTTTTAGGGCTTTAGGGCTTTAGGGCTTCAGGGCTTTAGGGCTTTAGGGCTTTAGGGCTTTAGGGCTTTAGGGCTTTAAGGCTTTAGGGCTTTAGGCCTTGGGGGTTCGGATGCCGTAAGCCTTGTAAGCCCCAAACTTTTGAAGGGTGTGCGGGCCCCTAAACCCTAAACCCTAAACCCTGGGCCAACCTTTAACCAGGACAAGGGCCTGCCGACCGTTTGCAGCCTCGGCTCGCAGCCCGAGACTTGAAGAGCATGTTGGGGTGTAGGGTTCAGGGTTTAGGGTTTAGGGTTTAGGGTTTAGGGTGTAGGGTTTAGGGTTTAGGGTTGCAAGGTGATAGGGTTCTAGGGTTTTAGGGTTTCGTTCGCGGGTTTTCGGTTCTTAGGTTTTGTCAAGGTTATAGGGTTTTAGGGTCTTAGGGTTTTCAGGGTCATAGGGTTCCAGGGTCTTAGGGTCTTAGGGTCTTAGGGTTTTATTGTTCTAGGGTTTTCGGGTCTTAGGGTTACAGGGTTCGATGGTTTTAGGGTCTTAGGGTTATAGGGTTCGAGTGTTTTAGGTTTAGGGTGTGGGGCTTAGGAAGCGTAAACGTAGGGTTTAGGGTCTTAGTGCTTAGGGTTGTGTACTGCTGTTGCCTTCTTCAGGGTCCGGGCCTTTGGCTGCAGATTAGTCTTCAGTTGTTAGTCTCTGTTGGGAATTCAGAGAGTTCCTAGTTAGGGTGCAGGGGCCTTTTGTTCTGAGAATCATACAACATACCCCAACCCATACCCCTTAGCCTCTACAAGGAGAATGAAAAGATGGGCTTTCCCATACCCCTTAACTTCTTTTACAGGGTATGCCCGAGGGGTATGTTGAATATTTCTTAGATTTGTGGTTTCTCGGGGGGCGTAGGGGGCCCAAACCCCCCAGACCCCTCAACCCTAAACCGCCTGGACCCGAAGCCCCCAGTCCCCCAAAGAACAGAAGAAGCCCTCCAAGGGCATAGGGTTAGGATTTAGGGTTTAGGGCTAAAATAGCCCTACATCCCTGAAAAGGGCATCTTTCCTTCGATTCGAGAAGCGGCGGCTTGTTCGATTTTGTTTTTTCGCAGGAACTTGTGCACCTCATCCGCAACAGCCGTTTCGAACTCGACAATCAAGTCAGGAACCCTGCCCCCCCGCCAAAACCAAAAACACATCAGAAAGAGAGAGAGAGAGAGAGCCAGAGAGAGTCAGAGAGAGAGAGAGAGGGAGAGTGGGGAGAGAGCGAGTGAGGGGGAAAGGGTGAGAGGCTGAGGGGGAGAGAGGGAGAGAGGGACTGCAGGAACCCCAACCCCAAACCCCACACCCAAAAAAAAACCGAAAGAAAGAAACCAAAAAGCCAAGGAATGGCTTGAGCCAGGCAGGGTGGGGGGGACCCTCAGCCCTAAACCCTAAGCCCTAGACCCTAACCCTTAGCCCTAAACCCTAAACCCTAAATCCTAGACCCTAGACCCTAAACCCTAAACCCTAAACCCTAAACCCTAAACCCTAAACCCTAAACCCTAACCCTAAACCCTACATCCTAAACCCTAAACCCTCATCTGCAAGACCTGCCGTGTGCCAACAACAAGCGACCCTGGGGGAGGTGAAGTCACTGCTGGCAGTGGCTTCCGGGAAAGGCGGCGTGGGCAAGAGCTCTGCAGCTGGGACGCACAGGGTTTAGGGTTTAGGGTTTAAGGTTTAGGGTTTAGGGTTTAGGGTTTAGGGTTTAGGGAAACCCGAAACCCTAAAACCCAAACCCTAAACCCTAAATTCTACATTCATGCACTCTGAGGCTAGCAAACTGATTATAACTCCTTGTTCTGTAGGTAACCTAGTACTCATCCCTCATCAACCCAAGGATCCAGCGAAGAGCATCCTAAACGGAGCTAAACCCCATACCACCCTATAAAAACCCGCCAAAACTCTAACAAAATTAAATCCCTATAAGGCCGGATAAAACTCTTCAAACAAAGAGAAACATCAATCGCGATAAAATCCTATATAGCTAACCCTATGAACCCCTGTAAAAAACAAGGACATTAACAAACAACTATAAAGCCCCATAAGCCCATAAACACCAAATACAAAACCCTACAAACCCATAGAAACAACCCTACAAACCCCTACAAAAACCCTCGAAATCCGTAAAACCTTTAACGCCCGATGGAAAAATATACCGTAAAGCCCGATGAAAAACCTAGAAGAAGCACCAGGTATGTGTCAACTTGGCCTACACCATGCAGCAGTCCTTGGGACTGAAGGCCGGTTGGGGTTTGGGGTTTGGGGTTTAGGGTTAGGGTGTCGGGTTTAGGGTTTAGGGTTTGCTGTGATGGGGCGTAGATGCTGTGAAGGTTAGGTTTTGGAACCCCACGCCTTCCGAGGCGGCAAAGCCACCCAAACCTATTCCTTTCAACTAGGGTTTAGGCCTAAACTCAAGCCAACTGCTTACTTTCCATAAAGCTGGTGCAGGCCCACAGATGGCAGAAGGCCCAGCGTTCCAGGAGGGTCTGGGGGAGGGGGCCGAGGAAAGGAAGCCAGGGGGAGAAGCGGCGGCAGGAGAAACCCCAAACAGCTTTTTTGAGCACCCGCCCTGCCCTTGAGCACCCTGCGGCGGGGGGTCCGGTGTCGCTTGAAGATTTAGACACCAGTCCTATTGACGTGACAGGTTCCATTGCATGCGCAGGATTCAACGGGTGAACGTGTTTGGCTCAAGGCCAACCGACAGCGGTGCAAGCAGATAGAGGAAAAGTGCCGACCTTTTTCGATGCATTAGTGTGCACATCAGCTACAGTTGGTGGCGGAGCCCTGGCAACAACCAGGGTGAAGCTGCGCAGCTGAGCAGGTGAGGGGCGCATTGTGCTAGAATTAGGTTAGGCCATGGCCTCTGATGTACCATCGTTGCCGGGCGGATTGAGGCTGCCTCAACCAAGAGAAGATTTCCGCCGTGCCTATGAAGAGCCGTCAGCGCAGCCTCCCGAGCCTCCCGAAGGCGACATTCCCGTGCCTTTGAGGCTGTTGCAACGGGCGCATAGTGTGAAGGAAGCACCGGCGCCTCAGCAACAGCCAGTACCTCTCCAAGGAGTTCAAGAAGCATGGGGCTTGAACAGGGCTTCTTCGGTCATGCCTTCCAGCCAGCGCGCCCCGCCAGAGATCTATGACGGACCTCCAAGAGGGTGGCCAGGCTCTCTTCCCCGACAGTCGGAGAAAGGAGATTACTCTGATCCTCCGTCTTTTCCAGGATTTCAGCATTACCGCATTTTCAAGAAGGCTCTGGTGCGATGGGATTCCGTAACAGACGTCAAGCCATGGCGAAGAGCAGAGAAGGTGCTGAGGCTCTTTGACTGGACTCTGATGTCTCGGTTCGACCATCTTAGCGAACAAGAGCTTCAGGGGCCTGACTACCTGCAGAAGATTTTGGAGATCTTAGATCTTGAAGCTGGAGTCATGGCAACCACCGAAAAGCACAGACTTGTCAGGGAGGCGTTGTTCGAGCATACAAGACAGCGTGATGAATCTGTAGCTCAATACGTCCATAGACGACATCAACAGTTCATTCAGGCGGAAAATGTGGGAGTTGCTATTCCCTCAGATGTCCGAGGAGCTTTGTTGGAAGAAGGGGCGGGGCTCAATGAACAAGGAGTTCAGAACCTTCGCACTCTCACAGGGGGAAGCCAAGCCTTCGAGGTGGTGCGGAGGGCTCTTCTTATGATGGAGGCTCCCGCTGCCTCGTCCAAACTTCTCAAGAAAACCTTTCATGCCGACACTTCGGGCGTCTATCTCGAAGAAGAGGTGGACTCGGACATTGACTCGGAGGATGAGGCCATGATCCTGTTTGAGCTTGACAAGCTGAATGTCTCTGAGGAAGAGTGTTCCAAGGTGTGGGCAGTGCTTGAGCAAGGTCGCCGTCGCACGTGGAAAGAAAACAAAGATCTCCGCCGGTCCATCCGAAAGGACCGCCAGCACTTCGACAGGACCGCCGCTTCGACGTCTTCCACATCCTCTGCTCATAACCGAAGGCTTCCCATAGACAAGCTCAAGCTTGTCACCAAATGCGCTAAGTGTGGTCAGAAGGGCCACTGGGCTCGGGAGTGTCCTAACCCTGCGCAACCAAGGTCCTCGCAGCAGCATGAGGCACGATCATCTTCCTCGGCGTTCGTCTTCTCGACTTTTGACCCTTCCTCGTCTTCATTCGTTACGATTGCGGGCCTGGAGATTGTTCGTGAGATTCGCCAAGGGTGTTCGTCCTCGACTATGTCGCCGTGGAATCTTCTATCCTTGAGTTCCTTGGCCCCGGGCCAAGCCATCTTGGACATCGGTGCAGGTGAGGATCTTATAGGCGCCTCCGCTTTCGAGCAGTATCAGACTGCCCTGAGCAACTTGGGTTGGCAAGGGGTGATTCTTCCAGAAAGTTCCCCCCCAGCAAAGGGGGTAGGTGGATCGTCGAGAGCCAAGTGCTATGCAATCCTGCCAGTTGAACTTGGCGGTCGCCTCGGATTCGTGAAGACCAAAGTTCTAGAGGAATCGATCCCGCACCTCTTGTCCGTCGGATTGTTAGACAGCCTAGGCGCATGCATCAATCTCCCGAACAACACGGTCCATTTCAAGAATGCCCCCCAGGAAGCCAAGGTGACCCGAAGCAGATCGGGACACCGGGTGGTGAACGTCCTGCCCACGCAGAGGTTCGCAGCAGAGCTCGTTCCCGTGGACCTGATGTGTTCTAGTGCGAAGATTGAGGCCGTCAGTCTGTTACAAGCAGAGTCGCATTTGCCGCACGGTGTTCATGACAATCGGTTTGAGAAGCCTGAAGTGACGCTTGATCCCTGCTGTGAGAGTTCAGGGCTTGAGAGCAACGCAAGCGCTAGTTTCCCGAACTCCTCCTTCACTCCTCCTGAGTCCGCGTCCTGTCATGTTCACTCATGTGGAGTCTCGGTGGCGCCGACTGGCCATTACGATGCTGCAGTTCGCAATGACGACTGCCGCCCAGATGGTGAAGCTGTACTTGGAACAGAAGGCCATGAAACATCCTTCCAAGTCCATCGACAAGACGGAGTGGACTCCGGAGCAGCGCGCCTGCTCTCATCCACAATCGCATCAGCGCAGGGGTGGGAACCAGTGGGGAAGATGGACGCAGTGCGGACTATGTCTGGCACGCACGTCATATGTCGTACAACTTTCCACCAAGGCCAAAGCCAAAGCCAAGTCAAAGGGGAAAGAGACCAAATCGATCCACGAAAGCGTGGATGTTCAGGAAGCCATCAAGGATGCAGCCTCAAGAGCGGCCAGGGAGACAGCTCAGCAAATCAAGGCCGAGGAGCATGTGTCCAAGGCGGAGGTGGAGTCCCTGCTGGCCATGTCAATCGAGGAGGTAGTGAAGCAACTACGCAAGCTAGACCAGTCAGTGAATGCTCTCACGCAGGAGAATGCCGCTCAGTGGCAGGTTCTTCGATCCATGACGGCAGTGGCGGGGCAATCAATGGCCTCCACACCCACGGAAGTGCAGCAACATCAGGCTCAGCTGACCGCCATTGCAGAGCAACAACTTCTGGCAGCCATGAGCCCGCAAGGTCTGGGCTCTCAAAGCGGCTCCTGGATGGACGTTGAGCATCCAGCTCCCACTCATTTTGGAACTCCACCGTAATTCCGTGGGAGCATGGAGTGAGCGAGGTGAGTGCGGAACGAGGCTTTCTCCTGTTCAGACTTTCTCCAGAGCTGCGCAAGTCTAGAGTGGAGCTTCCCGGGGAGCAAGATATCGACAGGCGAGTGTTGCTGCAGATTCGACCTGATGGTTCCAATCAGACTGCGCAAGGCCTTTCAGATGCCACACATGTCAGATGCTGGTGTCCAGGGTTGCATGCGTTACTGTTGGATCAAGATGTGAGTGATGATCATCGTGTCAAGATTCCAGCTGATGTTAAGCAAAGGTGTGCTAAGCAAGTGTGCTCTACGACTCCAGCGTGTGATGCAACTCCAGAGATGTCAACAGACAGCTTGTGTTTTCCGGCTATGTCAGACGGTTCTTCAGATAGTTCTGACTCAGCTTCATCTTCCGATACCTCTTCTGACTCAGAATCCGAAACGCAAGAAGAACCACAGCAGATGCCAAATTCCAGAGAGATGCCGAAGCCCACGGCCCGGGAGACTCAAATGATTGTCAAGTTGCGTGTGAACTTGTCCCATCCTCCGCGGGATCAGTTCTTGCGTATCCTCAAGGCGGCGGGCACAAAGGCTCACATTCTGAAATGGGTCCGCGATGACATGACCTGTGCGCACTGTGATTTGCAGCGTCGACCCAGGCACAGACGTAAAGCAGCCATTCCTCCATCATATCGGTTTAACGAAGTTTTGGGGATGGATGTGTTTTATGTGAACTTTATGCAAAAATCAGTGCCATTCCTGAACGTTGTGGACCATGGAACAGGGTTTCAGATGACCTGCGTTGTGCGCAACAAGCATCATGAAGTATCTGGCGGTACTCCGTGTTCTGCAGATGTATGGCGTACTTTTCAGACCACCTGGTTGAGATACTTCTTTGAGCCTGAGATAATTGTCACAGATCAAGGGGCTGAATTTGAAGGGCGCTTTAGTCGGGGCCTAGAACAGCACGGAGTATTTCACTGGGTCGCAGCGCGTGAAGCTCCATGGCAAAATGCGCGAGCTGAACGGCATGGAGGCTGGCTAAAATCCAGACTGAGTGCTGAACTTGAGTCAGGAGCATGTGTTCTGGAAACCGTGTCAGATCTGGAAGAGTTCGTGTCAGCATTGACTTCCTGCAAGAATCGATGGTATAGTAGAGGTGGTTTTTCGCCTCTTCAGTTGATTTTTGGGCATGGTCCAAGAGTCCCCCATGAACTCTTGACAGACGATGGCCCTGGCGAGCTCGGGCTGGCAGATCTTCATGCCGATCCCTTAGATGGTGACACCCCAGCAGCTGAATTTAGCAAGAGATTTCAGATTCGTCAGAAAGCCAGAGAAAGGGCAATTCAACATGACGCTCGAGATCGTGTGGCAAGAGCCGGTCGGGCAAAGAGACACGAGATTAAGAACTGGAACGTGGGGCAGTGGGTGTACGTTTGGCGTCAGGCTGCTCCGTCTGTGCGCTCAACTACCTCTCAGATCTTATTGCCAAGGAGCAGGTGGGTAGGACCTGGTACAGTTGTGCTACAGCATGGCTCAACAGTGTGGGTGCAGGTACGAGCAAGACTTTGGAAGTGCGATACGAGGCAGCTCAGACCCGCTCTCAGAGAAGAAATTCTCGGGGTTCAGCTGGCGCAGGAATCGGATCTACGTGAACTTCTGCAGTCCGTGTCTCCAGGTGTCAGGGCCTCAGCCGTAGATGTTGCTCGCGAGGGTGATCCCCCTGCAGAAGCTTGGGAACCCACGCCGATTCATGAGCCCGAGACGCCGCCGCTTCTACCTCCCATACCAGAACAGCATCCCGCCATAGTAAGTCCTGAAGCACAAATTCCACAAGTACCAGTTCCTATTGAACCATTTGCCCGCCAGGTGACCAGGGAAACTGATGTTCCTTCGCGACCTCATTCAACGATTACGCACAGATCCTCAGATGCTTCAGAAACTGCTTCAGATCCTAAACGTCAGAGGCTACACGATCTGGCTCCAGGTGTGCAAGCGCGAGCGCCATCAGCTGCCTCTTCATCAGTCGCCACGCCCTCATCGCAACACGCAGCCTTTCGACATGATGATCCTCTGGAGCAAAGGATGCAAAGTGCTGCCCGAGAAATGATAGACTACGTTCACGCATCTCGGCGCTCAGGAGCTGAGCCATCCAACGAAGATCAAGCTCTCTTCGATGCCATGTTCGCTTCCAACTCAGCAGAGATACCAGTTTCAGAAACGTACATCTTTGAGAATTTGGATTCTGGCTGGTGTTTTGTAGTTGGCAGTGGAAACGAGATAAGTCTCAAGGATCTAAACTCTGAAGAAAGACTTCAGTTTGACAAATCTGACGCTGCAGAGTGGAAGGCTATAGTAGACACAGGAGCTGTGTTGGTGCTATCTCCAAATGAATCAGAACGTGTGAAGAAACAGATGCCTCAGCGGATCATGACCAGTCGCATCGTGCGCCGGTGGAAGCCTCAACCTGGCATAGGCTGCAAGAAGGCCAAGTCAAGATGGTGTGTACATGGTCATCAGGATCATGATGCTCCTCAACTTAAAACCTTCAGCCCTACGCCAATGACTGAGTCCTTGTATCTCTTCCTGCTCATGGCATTGGGGCTAGGTCTTTCGATTGACTTCGCAGACGTCAAAAATGCCTTTTGTCAATCAAATCCCATACAGCGCGCAGCGGGACCAGTCTACGCTGAGGCCTGTCCTGGATTGGGGCTTCCTCCAGGCACGCTGATACAACTGGTTGCGCCTGTTTACGGATTATTGGACGCTCCAAGGGCATGGCGAGAGACAGTCAAAGATCATTTAATCAATCAGCTGGGGTTTGAGCAAAACCCCTTTGAGAACTGTCTTTTTGTTCGTCGCAGGGCGGGCGCTGTGACATCCATGATTCTTGTGGAGGTGGATGACCTAGTAATCGCCTCAGATGAGGAGTGCAAGGCCGAAATCAAAGATAGTCTTATGAAGAGATTCCAGTTTGGGCGTTGGGTGAGTAATTAATGAAGAAGACTACGCAGGACGAAGAGTGCGTGTACGCAGTGATCGCATCGAAGTCTTTCAAGACAAATACATTCTTGAGAATCTCTTCCCAATCAAGCTCCCCAAGGCCAGGCGCGGACAACGAAAGGAGAAGCTGTTGGACGATGAGTTCGAAGCTGCCAGATCTCTTTTGTACAAAATCAGTTGGGTTGCAAAAGAAACTCGTCCTGAAGCTAGCGGCATGTGCTCTATCCTAGCCTCCCGCTTACACGAAGGCACAGTCGAAGACATTCACACCATGAACAAAATGGTTTCTCACCTGCGCAATACAGCGTCCAGACCTTTGATCTTATGGAAGTTCGATATCGAAAATATGGCGTTCATAGTCGGGTCAGACGCAGGTGGTGTGGGATCACTGCCTCAATCGTGCGAAGGCGATGGTTTACCATCTGATGGAACGCAGGGCGCGTGGCTAGTCTTAGCTGCCGAGCGGCTCCCTACTGGAGCTGAAAGGGTCCGAGTATCACCGGTGTGCTGGAGATCAGCCAAGTTGAAACGCCGGGTTCCCTCAACTCTAGCAGGAGAAGCGCTGGCTCTTAGTCAGGGTATGGCGCAAGTAGAGTGGATGCAGGTTATGTTGAGAAGCGTTCTGGTCGGAGACGTGTCAGGTGAATGGGCTGACCAACTCTCGCCTTACATGATTGCAATGCCCTCCGCATCCCCACTATGTCATCGCAATCCTCAAGTTCATGTTATCGATGCAAAATCAGTGTTTGATGTGATTCAAAAAGAGGGAGGCTCCTCATCAAAACAAGACCGCCGGACTGCGATTGAACTCGCAATTGTTTCTGAGGCCATGGAAGAGATCACAGGCTACTATTCGGTGGGTTCCACATTTCAAAATGTTTGTAGATGCTCTCACCAAGGCTGATATTTCCAAAGGAGCTGGAGCTCTACTACATCTACTGGGCTCTGGGAAGCTTCAACTCGTAGTTGAACATGACGAGTTATCTGAGCGAGCTCAAGATCCAAAGAGGAAGTTAAGATCCAAGGCGGCGTCAGATCGTCAGTTATTGCAAGAGACTGCGCAGTTAATGTCTATTGCTTCTGAGCCACTTGATATGCCCATTTGGCAGTATGCTAGGCTTGGTTCTCCGTACAGCTGGTTCATTCCAGATCTGAATCTCCCTACGGTGCCAAAGTGCTCAGGCTCATCAATCCTGTATGTCACGTCAACTTAAATTGGATGGGACTGTCGCTTGAAGATTTAGACACCAGTCCTATTGACGTGACAGGTTCCATTGCATGCGCAGGATTCAACGGGTGAACGTGTTTGGCTCAAGGCCAACCGACAGCGGTGCAAGCAGATAGAGGAAAAGTGCCGACCTTTTTCGATGCATTAGTGTGCACATCAGCTACATCCGGGCCCTCCTGGCCTCGGAGGCCTGGGGGTAGGCCAGCCACGCCCAGGAACGAGATTCGGGTAAAAAATCAGGGACCCAGTACTGGTCCCAAAAAAACGGGTTCCGGTACCGGGCCCCACGTGGGTGCTACCGACCCGCGAGCTGTGGGAGGCGGGCGAACGACCTGGGTCGGCTTGCGCCAGCGAGGTCGAGGGGCTTAGGCGCAGCCCAGCCCTAAACCCCCCAATCAGGTTCCCCTAATGTCGTAAAGCCCCCAGGTGGGGATTTTGGATGCCGACATCTACGGGCCTTCTTTGCCGGCCATGGTCCCGCCGGACGTGGCGGAGAAGGCCCCCGGGCGCTTTTAGACTCATGCTTTTGAGTTAGGGTTTAGGGTTTAGGGCCTTGGGGGCTTCAAGGAAATACCTGGCACTTCAACCCCCAAGCCTTGAAGCCCCCAAGCTGCATCTTCAGGGGTTAGCCCTAAACCCTTACCCTAAACTCTAAACCCTCAACCCTCAACCCTAAAACCTAAACCCTAAGCAACTCGATCTCCGGTCTTTTTTGGAGCTGCCTGACGCAGTCCCCTGTTGACGGGTCAAGGCAAGTTGCTTAGGGTTTAGGGGTTTAGGGTTTAGGGTTTAGGGAGCTCCAGTACTACTCGTAGTTTATATGGAGGTGCCTTACGAACCTTAGATTGCTGGATATGGGTTACCCTAAACCCTAAGCCCTAAACCCCTTATCTTCGTGCCGTAAGAACTCGAAGCTGCAGGTCTACGCCTCTGAGCGCGGGGGCGCCGTGGCTCGCAACAGCTGGTGGGTTCCGGATTTCTGCGTGCTGTAGGGCGCTTCAGGCTTACTATAAAAAAGTAGCTGAATGAGTGCACTTTACACTTTTTGGCTACTATATTTTTGTATAGAACTGAAAGTGTAAACTTTCTTGGGGCTTCTGAACCCAGCAACTATGCTATAGGGGTCGGCAAAATTGCGAATAGTATTCCCCTCAATAATTATACTTGAATCAGCCCCCAGAAACCTATTCTAGTTATTAAGGCCCCTGGGTTCCCCTAAACCCCAAACCCTAAACCCTAAACCCTAAACCCTGAACCCTAAACCCTAAACCCTAAAACCTAAACCTTGAACCCTGAACCCGAAACCCTACATTTTTCTGTTCATGTCGGACACGCGGCCGCAGCTAGACGAGCCAGACATGTCCTCGTGCCGATTTGTTTTTGGTTTTTGGTTTTTGGTTTAGGGTTTAGGGTTTAGGGTAAAACCCAAGCCACAAGACCCCGAACCTTCCCAGCATGCAAAGCAGCAAGGCATCACCCCTCTGCAGTACGAAGGCCAGGAGGACAAGAGCTACGGGTGCCAACAGAGGGCTTCCCCACACCCGGCAGGATCCAAGAAGTAGGTTTAGGGTTTAGGGTTTACGCTAGGGCTCGCGCGACCACTAAGATAACTTAGCAACTTAGCAACATGGGTTTAACATGGGTTTAACATGGGTGTAACTTCTAAGTTTTTGTGTGGTTAGTTAAGCGTCTTAGCCTTAAGCTAAGCAACCCTAAGTATAGTTAGCTTTTGGCTAAGTTCAGCATGCTGTGTTCATGCAACAACTTAAAAAAACTTAACTTTTACTTAACTTGAACTTAACTTTTTGATCGATTTCGGGAGCTCAAATTTCGTGCAAAGGCATGTCTGCCCCATGTCATTTTTTCATCCATGCTTTTGTATGTTTTTTATAGATTTTGTCCGTTTTCATACATCTCGGACTGCTTTGGAAGCTGGCGGATGTCTTAAATTAGTTTGTGCAAGCACGATGCGTGTTTTCTCGGGTTTTCCGATCTTGCCTCATTATGTCGTAGGGTTCAATGTTAACACGGTCACGAACATACATCTGGTCTTTGCTGCAGACTTTATTCTTGAGACTCTGGGTTGTAAGGCTCACGTGACAGAAGTCGTATACATCACACACCGAGCGCTTTGCGCTGCCATGAGATTGTGAAGTGCAAATTGCAAATTCCGTTACGTAGAGTTCTATGTGCGACAAACATGTACTTGTATACGCGTCGCAAATGTTATCCGCACGTGACGGTTTGCTTTCGTCTCTTCAAAGCGATGGCAGCTTGCCGGCGGATTTTCGTAGCTGCAGGTGAAGTCTAGGAACACCTGGCCCAACTCTTGCGTGGTGCGCTACCCGAGACTCTATATCCTCAGCCCCAAGCCCTTAAACCTGAAACCCCTATAAACCATTATGTGCAGCCCTAAACCCTGCACCCTCCCCTACAGTAAAGTCATGCCGAGCGCTTCGCGCTGCTGTATCGAGCGCAGTGCGCTTCTGCCGTCAAACAGAAAATATCCAAATTGTTAATGTGTCAACACGGTTGAGCGCTACGCGCTTCTGCCAGTACCGAATTCTTATATCCTGCAAGCGCGCCGTCAAGCGTGTTGTTGGCAGAGCTTAGCCTAACAGCAGCAAGTTACATGGCAGCATTGTTTCAACATGCCAAGCAAGAGCGACGGTCACATGTGAAACTCCTTCATGAAACCCTTTAAGCCTACACACGTGTGCCTCGCATTCGAGATGGCTTTGGCTCGTTTTCTTCTTCTTTATGGGTCGGCCACCTTCGAGGAAAAATTGGCGGAAGAAATGGAGCGCCTGGAGTCAGAGAAGCGGACGTGGAACAGCGACATTGGCCTCCAGGCGGCTGCCAAGTCGAAGCAGCAGAAAGTGGGGGGCTCTTCTCCAGCGATGCAGCAAGCAGCATGCACAACTGCGCCGCTGCGCACGACCGCCGTGCCAGCTACGACCGGGGCCTTGGAAGCTACAGCTTCACCGGCGATGCCAAGCTCCTGCTCGCAAGGCGCCGGCGCCGCAGCAGACGCTGGCGCTCAGTCCACTCCGCCTTCTTCCCTACCTCCAGACGCTGGCAAGCGTGAGCGTGGCGAGCGCGGTGGGAAGAGGAAGTCATGGTACTGCAAGTGGTACTATGATCCGACGCGAGGGAAAAGAATCTGTCCGCACACGCGCATAGTGCTTCGGCTAGCATGACTGCTTTAACGGAGTCAGGCGAATCCAAAGGGGGCTACTGTTACGGTCTGGGTTTTGGGCTTCAGGTTCAAGGAGACTGAGAGTATGCCTGCATGTGGCCTGTTTTGCTGTTGAAGCCTTCAGGCAATGTTTTTGTTGGTGTCTCGTTGAGCGCAGGGCGCTGCTGCACTGCATGTGTAGGAGGAAACATGTAAACAATGCAACACAAGAGCGCACGGCGCTGCTGGAGTTGTGCGTGTACTGTCGAGCCGGTTGCGTTTCAGTGCGCGGTGAAACATGCGCAGCTGCTCTTGGTTCGAAGCCAATGTGGACAGCTAGAGATTGGGCAGCGTGGGACAGTCGCTGGAGCGAGGAGGAATGGGAACAGTGGCTGCAAGCACGTCGTCGTGAAGAAGAGTCCGCTTCTTCGCCTGCTGGTGTGTCCGCTGCCGCCAACGAGTCGCAGAAGCGGCCTGGCAGCGACCTTGGCCAAGCCGCGCCCCAGTTCAAGCAGCAAAAAACGGGGACGCCTTCTCCTGTGGCCTCGCCGGCAGCGCCTGGGCAGACTACCTCTGCGCCAGCTGTTGCGGCAAAGACTGGGGCCTTGGAACCTACAGCGTCGACTCCGCTGCCAAGCTCCGGGGCAACACTAGCTGGCGGCGCTGCGGCTGCAGGTCACGCTCAGCTCTTGCCACCTCCGCCACCTCCTGCAGTGCCTCCAGACGCTGGTGCTGGAGATGCTGGCAGAGGCGACATCGTGGTGAGGGCAGAGGAGGTGGAACAGTTGCGCCATTTCCTGCACGAGACACGGGCAGCTCTTCGCGCGGTTGTTCGCTTTGCAACAGCAGCTGACCATGCGCTGCGCGACATGGTGCGTGGTGTGTGAGGAAAAGAAGCGAGCAAAGGTTCCAGGTATTTATATGTGTAAGTACAGAAGACATATTTTTTGGCCAGTCGCGAAGCACCAAGGCTCCCGGTTGTCTTGCAGGTTGTTTTCTCATATAGTGTTTCACGACCTATGCACTGTTCTTTCTCCTCTCCATCATGCTCTTCTATGTGTGAGCGCTTGCGCTTCTGTGACTCGTGTGAGCGCTCGCGCTTCTGTTATATGTCTGAGCGCTTGCGCTTCTGTCATACTCACATCGTGCGTCTCGAGCCCGTGGTTCACTTATGGGACGCACGTTGGCTTCCAAGCCTGGGGGACTTAGTTAGTCTGACGCTCGCGGCATGGCGGCCGCTCACCTCCAGGCGGTGCTGGGTTACCTGGAAGCCTTCAGCAGGGCGGCCTCGCCGGAGAATGCTCTGGCGGAATGTGAGAGGCAGTTCGACCTCCTTCAGGCTAGCCTCACAGAGACTGAGTTTGACTGCTCCTCTGCTTCCGAGGTTTTGGTCCTGCTAGACTCGGCAGCCGCAAAACTGTGCTTGTCAGAGCAGCAAAGGCGTCAGCTTGCGCAGGCGCTGCCCACAGCCACTGCAGAAGGGAAACCGAGCAAGCCTTCCACTAAGCGGAAGCGTCGAGACCAGCAGGACTTCTCCTACGCCTTCCGGTACTTGACGAGAAGTGTCTGGCAGCAGCTACAGGACCCCGGCCTGCGCGACTTCAAAAAGCTGGACGTGCTGTCCAGCTACCTGGCCAGCTTGGGGCTCCGCTGTCCGTCCGAGTTCACAGCCCAAGTGGTGACCTGGTACTTCTTGCTGTACGGCTCGGACCACGTGCCCATGAACGACGCGTTGGCCGTGCACAAGCAGTACCTCTCAGTCAAGAACGCTCTGCAAAAGCACGCGCGTTTGTGTCCAAAGCTCCCCGACCTGCCGTACGTGGTGGCTCTCCCAAGCAACGTGGGCGACCTTGACCATGCTTGGCGTGACCGTGTCTTCGCGCAAGAAGCTCCCGCGGCGGCTCCCTTTGACGACGAGGAGTTCAGGCTCAACGCAGTCGGCGTGCCGGCTCGCATGAGCAACAAGTGGGTGCGGCTGCAGCTACAAACCCTGAAGATGCGTACGGGCAAGACTCCGGTTGGCCCTTGTGTCCGCAGCAGTAGCGAGATGAAGTTTGCACTGCCTCGCTGCCCCTCGACAATGGACTGCGACTCAGACGAAAGCCCACTGTTCTTGAAGGAGCGCCGCAGGCAACCGCCGGCAGCCCTGCTGCCCCCGCCTCCGCTGCAGCCCAGCCAGCATGCGCAGCTTCAGGTGCCGGAGATCCTAAACCTGTAGAAGCCCTCGAGAGCCCCCTGTAGGTCCCGCTATACCTTGAACTCCTGAAGCATGCTGCTGTGAGGCGTCTCGAGCAGAGGCGATGACTGGGCAGCCGGCTGCGACTCCTGCCGCATCTGGAGTTCCTCCGCTCAGTGTTGCTGAAGACAGCAAAGCTACTTCTTCACCATCTGCAGGGCTGCTTCAGGTGTGCTCCTCTGAGAAACAGTCGCTGGCGCTGCCGGCCACGCCTCTGCAAGTCTCGGACAGGCCCTGCCAGCCTGCCATGCAGGTTGCTCGTGGGCCAGAGACTGCGCCCGTGCTCTCTGGAGCCGCGCCAGCTACTGGTAGTTTGGCGCCTGATGCTGCACCTCAGCCGGGTTCTTCTGCGAGTGTGCGTGGCGGACCTGCAGCAGTCCTTCAGCAAAAGGGCGGCGAGGCATCTGGCCGAAGCTCGGTCTTGAATGCGGCTCTGGAGCTACAGGTAGCCATGGGCTCGAAACTGCCAAAGCTGGCGGCGCATGCGCTGGAGGAGCCAAAGAAGAGTACGCCACCCACTAAAGGCCAAAGCCCGAAGAAGAAGAAAAACAACAAGACGAAGAAGGAGAGCAGCGCCACGGGCAAGAAGTCTGGAAAGAACCCGACCTCGAAGCCCGACCCTCGTGCAGAGGCAAAGAACAAGGGCAAGTCCAAGAAGAAGACCATGGAAGAGCGGCAGCACTTCAAGCCAGGTTCGGCGGCGGAGCGCGCGTATCGCAAGGCGTGCGGCGTCCCGTCGAGTCTCCTGCAGAAGTACAAGAAAGGCTGCAGCAAATGCAGGAAGCGGCCGGGCTGCACTCGTAGCTGCTGGCTTTTGCGACACTACCAGGTCTGATACCTGTGCACCGTTTTAGCGCATGGAGTTTTCATAGAAGCTCCCTCTGCTGCAGAATTCTCAGCGTCGTCGCATGTTCATATGCCTCACTCAAAGAGCGCGCGCTGGAGGTTGCACAGCGCGAGGTCGAAAGGCGCAGTGTTCCCTGACCTCCTGCGCTTCAGACTCATTGCATAGGTTTATATGGCATTGTAGACCGTGTGCTTGCCTGAGCGCAGGGCGCTATAGACCGATGCGTGCAGAGGAGCGTGTCGTGTATAGCATCTCTTCTCGAGCTGCCGGTTCCTAGACTTGCAGCTGCTGTGCGAGTGAGATGGCCAGCCTTGCCGCGGCGGAAGCTGCCGACGAAGTGGAAAGCTTGGGCTTCTACGTGGACGTGGGCTGCAGCGGCCAGAAGCGACCTGCTCAGAGCCACGTCGACTGCGACGGCTCGAGCAGCAAGCGACAGAGAACAGCAGGCTGCCACATGCACAGCTCCACTTGTGCAGGGGCACTGTCCAAGAAGGAAGCCAAGTTCCTGGCCCGTGCTTCCGACCTTCTCAAGTGGTCCCAGCCCTACGCGGAGAAGCTAGCAGAGGAGATGGCTTACTTGGAGCGCGTGCTGACGGCTCTGCTGGACAAGCAAGCTGGTCGCACGCGAGTTTCTCTGTACTCCGTAAAGAGCCTCAAGGCAGGACTCGCTGGCGTCTTTCACGCCTTGGAAGCGGTAGTGCAAGCTTCATAGCTGGAGTGTTGCTGGTGCCAATGACGAGCCAATGTCTGTACCCAGACCAAAGGACTTCATCTGCTGCGCTGCGGGGCAGTCAGTTCACACACGAGCGCTTGCGCTACTCTGAAACCGTCACCCTCAACCCTAAGCCCTAAACCCTAAACCCTAAACCCCCAAACCCTCAACCCCAAACCCTGTGAACGCTCACGTGCTGCAGACACTTCACAGTTCACGCACGAGCGCAAGCGCTGCGTCACGCACGGCGGTCTACGTAAGCGGGCAAGAGTGAACAGATCTAGAGACAGCGGGGACACTCATTGAGAGCCCCAAAGGGTTTACCAACAACAAAACAGAAACAAAACATATGGAAAACACCGACAAAAACAAGCGAAACAACTGAAAACATCAAATTTCAAAATCGTACTTCTAAAGGAGGTACTTTTGAAACACCAACCCGAGGGTTTGGTTTAGGGTTTAGGGTTTAGGGTTTAGGGTTTAGGGTTTAGGGTTTAGGGTTTAGGGTTTAGGGTTTAGGGTTTAGGGTTTAGGGTTTAGGGTTTAGGGTTTAGGGTTTAGGGTTTAGGGTTTAGGGTTTAGGGTTTAGGGTTTAGGGTTTAGGGTTTAGGGTTTAGGGTTTAGGGTTTAGGGTTTAGGGTTTAGGGTTTAGGGCAAGGATGTAGGGTTGGCCTGGATACCGCGGGATGCCACGGGATACCGCGCGATACCGCGCGATACCGTGCGATACCGCGCGATACCGGGGGAGCTGAGAGGATACCAGCGCGGTATCTCGCGGTATCCCGCCTTGTTCTTCTAGGTTTGCGGACAGGAACCAGGCACGATACCGCGCGATACCGGTTTTGGTGGCTCTTGGATATAAGGTTTGCAGAAAAAAAAAAACGCGATACCGCGGGATACCGCTTGGCATCCCCCTGCAGCCCCATGCGCAAAACCATGCCGCGATACCACACGATACCGCGGGATACGCGCCGAAATTTGCTCCATCCTTCCTGTTTCCTGCCTTCCTTTTTCTCCGCTGGCTCGTTTTCACAGCCTCCCTAGCTCCTGAGTTTCCGCAGCTCTTTCGACGAGCCACCGAAGCCATGGCTGCTGTCGACACCGTGTTTTGCGCTCGCTGCAAGGGAAGTGTGGCGAGGGAGGACGCGGTCAAGAAGAGCACGCACACCTATGTGCACAAGGACTGTCACTCGTTGCAGGTCTACGTCGCCAGGTTAACCTGGCCGCAAGACTTGGCATTCGAAGGCGCCGAGAAAGAGGAGTTCTTCTCCAAGGCGTCGCGGTGCCGTGACCCGACAACCGGAAAGGTTTGCCTCAACAAGTTGAGGAACGAGGTCACAAGAATCCTCACAACGAGGAGGATCCAGCAGATGAAGGATAGCACTGTGTCTCCCTTTCGTCCGTTGGACTACTGGAAGACAATGGGGTTCGACACAGAGAAGATCCGGGCGAACTGCCCTTTCGAAGAGCATCCCCAGGGTCTTGGCCGCTGCTACCAAGTCTCCTTGCACAGCGAGGAAAGCAACAACATCTGCGAGCAAATGGCGCAGGAGTCCATGCGCATCGAGCTGAAGGCCCGTAAGCGCACGCTGCCGGCGGCGCCTGTTCCTCGTGCCCTGAAGGACAAGGCCACGGACGACGTCGAGGAGGCGGACAAGGATGCGGCAGCAGAAGTCCTAGCGGACTTAGAGGAGGCCCTTGCGGACTTGACGGAGGACGAAGAGGAAGTGCAAGAGGCCCGGAACCGGTCTAAAGCTGAGGCCAAGGACAAGAAGAAGCAAGCCGCGAAAGACAAGAAGGAAGCCGCCAAGGCCAAGAAGAAGCAGGAGCAAGAGGAGAGGAAGCGCCAGAACGAGCTCTTCAACCTGGCGAGCAAAGCGAACCGCTTCCTTGCACAGCCTCTGGTCAAAGTGACCAAGGCGAGAGACCTCGTTGCCAAGGACAAGACAGCGTCGGAGCTTGTACGCGAAAGCATTTGCTCCGCGCACACGCAGATGCAGGAGTGGCAAACGGCCGCGCTGCAGACAGTCTTGAAGCGGGCCAAGACGCCTGACGCTAAGCTTCAGGACCTGCCGTTCACCAACTTCAAGGAGCTGCAGCAGCAGGTCCAGGAGCACTTGACCCTGGCTGCCACTGTCAAGCCGCTGGCGAAGGCTAAGGCTAAGACCCGTGCCGGCGGCAGGAAGCGACCTCGCGAAGAGAAGGACGCCAAGGACGGCGAGGAAGAGTCCGACAAGGAGGAGAGCAAGGAAAAGGACGACGACAGTGTCAAGTGTGAGACCGCCGAGGAGACCCAGGTCACTGACGCGGCCTCCGCCGACAGCTGAGTCGGCCTGTAGTCCGCGCCTGCTTGCACGTTTGACGTCGTCGACATGCCCACCATGCAGCTCAGCATGGCATGTGTGGGCCCCTGTCGCGGCAAGGAACACACGCGAGTCAGTGGAAGACAGCGTTCGTCTCCGAACGCACGCAAACAACGAGGGGGAAAAAGGTGAACTTGTGCGTCGCATCCGAGCGCTGGCGCTTCTGCTACACGTTAAGTACTTGCGCTTGTGGTACACGTCATACAGTTGCGTTTGTGTTCAATGCTGAGCGCCTCACGCGCTGCATAAAGTGAGCCAACGCCGTGGATGGTCCAGTTGCAAGGCACATGCAGTTCCCTTTCACGCACAGTCACCGCAATGGCTGACACGAGGCTGACGCACTGCGTGGTGATAAGTGCATCCACCGAGGAAAACCTGAGGCATCAGCTCGAGAACATGTCCGCCGACACACTTCGGCTGCTGGCAACCATGACCGTGGATGTGCTGGCCGCGAGGGTCGTCACCGATACTCCTGGCGCACCTGCTGGACTCGGTGGCCAAGCGGCGGTTGGAGAGGGGGACTTCAGCATGCTGGGCAGTGGGCTCGCGGAGATAAACGTGGCGAGTGAGTTTACGGACTGACGTGCCAGCTCTGCCCATCGGTATGCTGTTTTTGGTAGGTCTGCAACGTTCGAAAGTCCAGAGGAAGAAAACCGGCACCCTTTTGCGGCTGCATCGAAACAGCGACAATGCTTCAAGCATGCAAGGCCCAAACTCCCGAGCGCTCGCGCTTCCGAGTGTGTACGTAAATTTTGACATAGATGCTACGCCGGACAGTTTGTTTTGTCGCAGCTTATATGGTTTCTAGACGCGGCGTCCCCCGCGTGGCTGCGAGCTCGCTTGTCTCGAACACGCAGAGCAAGAACATCGCCGCTGGCGCCCACGCACAGCTGCACCTGCGCGCTTAGAACGCCTGCATGGTTGCTGTTGACAGCGAGGAGACTGCGTGAGTATAGAGGCCTCGACGGACTGGGACCGGCTTTCTAGCCAGACGTGAAATTCATCCGTCTTTGCCAAGCATTTCGCGAATGCGCACACAGCACAGATGCTAGAGCGCGGAGCGCTGCCGCTGGATAGTATAAATCAGGTCTTCTGTGCAGGAGACATTCAAAACTTGCTGGCACTATCTTCTCAAAGCCTCGTCACCGAACCGCCGCCAGAGCCTCACGCTTGACCATGGTCTACGGCGTCTGGGCGGACATACACGACCGCGAGAAAACTCGACTCTACGTGGGCAACAAGGGTCCGCGCAGAGAACGCGAGGCTGGTGCTGCGCGTGAACCCCCAACCATACAGCATTTAATCACCCTAGACCCTATAGACGCCGAACCCTAAATCCGAAAACCATACGTAATACTTTACACAAAATAGAAATGTTTCGGGTCAGGTCCTTGTCGTGCGCGACCTGCGCACGTACTGCGTAGACACCCGGGCCAAGGAAGAGGAAGAGCAGAGCAACGTGGTTGCTGTGGAGGACTCGCCCGAGAAGGCCAGCAGCTCCAAGACCAAACAACAGGAGCCTGGCCTGAAAGAGACGCAGGAGGCGAGCCAGGCGGACAGCCTCACGAGGGAGTTGACGGACTTAGTGGCTGAAGCCCAAAGAGCTCAAGGTGATGCCGAAGTGGCGTGGGAGAAGGACTTGACTACTTGCATGGACACTAGCTACGAGCAGTGTGCTCTGGAAGAAAGCCTGCAGATGGCAAACAAGAAACAGAAGAAGAACGCTTGGAGTGCAAAGGCAAAGTCATGCCCAGCAGACAGCCGCCGAGGACAGAAGAACAAGAAAGACGTGTCTGAGCAAGAAGCGCAAGCTGGGAAGAAGGCACGACCAGCTGTGTCGTAAGAAGTCTACTGCAGGGTCAGTCGAGGCACAAAAAAAGCGCAATGTGCTGCGGTGCATCTGTCGTATATGGAGTATATATAGGCCTTGAGCGCTTGCGCTGCGCCTGATGCACTGGACTCGTCCAGGCCCCAGCCATGACAGGGTCGACTGTCGAGCACATTCGGCTTTGAGCGCCTGCGCTACACGTGATGCAATGGACTCCTTGCAGGCTCTAGCAATGACAGAGTCGACTAGTAGCAGCAGCGCCAGAAAGAGACAGCGCGAGATCCGCGATGCCGTGCTGCCTTGTTTGGGCCACGCCGGCACGAACGCTGGTCACGTTGACCGAACGCTTCAGCGTTTGCACCAGGCCGGGATCGTGGAGAAGCCTCCAAGCAAAGGTTCGGTGCGACATCGTGACTACCGCATCCGAAAGGACTGGCTACAAGAAACAACAATGACAGCGACACTGCCCCTCACTGATGATCGGGAGCACCAGTGGCCAGTGGTGGATGTCTTGAAGGCCACCGAGGCCATGGCTGAAGCGAACCCCGCCTACGGAAAAAAGCTACTGGAAGCGGTTTTCCGCGTTGGTCAGGAGACCAGCATAATATTATACTGCGATGAGGCCACGCCTGGAAATCCCCTAGCCCCATGCGTGCAGCGCAAGGCGTACTTGTTCTACATTGGCTACAAATGTATGAGGCCCAGGCCTGGTTCCTGGATCACTGTGGCTGCGCTGCCTTCCAACCTCTTGACTGATGTCATAGGCGGCGTCGCTGGTGCAACCACAGTTTTGCTACGAGCCCTGACGCCTTGCTGGAACGGTCGCACACTGCTGATAGCAGGCCAGCGTATATTTTGCAAGCTGCGCCTGGAGGCTTTTTCTGGAGATGAAGCTGGTCTAGCAGCGTGCCTGGCTGCAAAAGGGGCATCCGGTAGACGACCGTGTTGGCTGTGCTCCAACCTCATCTCGAAGCTATGCCGTGATCAGTTGCTTGAGAGGGGGCAGGCAAATGTGCTGAACAAGTTCGTGACCATTGACGAAGCTGTTGCTGGGACTTGACTTGGCTTCTTTACTTTACGCCGTTTTCTCCGTTTAGGTCTGGGTGTTTGGGCTTCGGGCGTTCCGGGTTTCAGCGTGTGTCTATGCTCAGGACAAGACAAAGTACAGTCCGGCGACGGACACCAGCATATATGCTGCCTTGGACTCTTTGAGCGCTTGCGCTGCTGTGGAGACCAAAGGCGCTCTCGAAGATCTCAGCAAAAATCTGGGATGGAGACACGAACCGCGAGGACCCCTGGCACAGCCAGAACTGCGTAGCTTGCTTCGGCCAGCCGCTACAGTCTTCGACGTGCTGCAACTGGATGCAATGTAGCATATGTTTGGCTTAAAGTGGGCATGGACTAGTCGCCTTTTAGATGCTATTGATCCGAGGCACTGCTACTACTCGGGGGGGATTGTCGCCCAGGAAGTTTGTATGCTGCTGCAGGCCTTCAACCAGCAAGGACTGAGCAACCAGGCCCTGCAGGAGCAGCTGAGCGCTCCACTGGAGTTTCTGCACAACCGCCCAAAGTTGAGAACTCTGGACAAGAACTTCTTTTCAGAAAAATTATGGAAAGCAGATGGGCAGGATCAAGTGGCCATGATGCCACTGCTTCATTTTTACATCGTCTCCGTCCTCGATGTTGCCATCAAAGACAAGCTTTCTGAGCAAGTACACTGCTTCCAGCTGCTGTGCAAGCGGGTTTTTTATTTGGAAGCGCTTCGCATGAGCAGGGACAGTGCACTACTTCCCTTGCTGGAGTCAGCGGAGAAAGAACACCACGAGGCATTTGCGACTGTGTGGGGCCTCGCAGAAATGAGACCGAAGCATCACTACAGCCGACATCAGGTGCAGCAGTTTCGCCAACATGACGAGATTATAGACACCATGAACACTGAGCGAAGACATCAGATCTACAAGACACTCTGCAACAACAAAATCAAAGATGTCAGGCACTTGGAGTGGGCTGTACTTGCTGGCTCCTTCTTTAACGAAAAGGAAGTCTTGGAGGCTGCGACATGGAATCTGTGCGTCACGACAGTGGAAAATGGTCGAAAGGCTGCTGTGTGTGCCTGGCGTCGATACATCGTGGGCAATCCTATCGTTGTGTCAAACCTGGAGACGTGTGGGGTTATTGAAGACGTGCAGCAAACAGAAGCAGGAACCCTCTTGGTGCTCGCGATGTACAACCTGGCTGCAGTGATCGATACAGGAATCATGCAGTGGACGCGCAGTGATGTACAAAGAAGCCTCGAGATTGCGGAGGACCAGAGAAACGTCCTCCTGCCTGCGTGCTGGAAGTTCGCCGGGCCGTCGCTACTGACGTTGTGGTGAAGAAACGGAGTACCGAGCGCAGTGCGCTTCTGCATGACTGATAAAGGTGGTCAAAGATAGACTTCATCTCATGTCTGGTATAGGTAGACAATCTCACTGCTCCGGGAAGGAACACACTACACTTGCCCCAAAACGTATAAAACCCAGTATATTTTTCAGCCTCCGGCTTGAACGCATGCATTTTCTGGCAAAAACAACATAAAGTGCATCAAATTAGAAGGTCTTATGTGGACATGGTTCATGTGCCAAAACAACAAAACAAAACACAAAAAATAACTTAACTTGAACTTAACTTTTACTTAACTTTTACTTAACTCTGGTTTTTACATGCCTCAAAAGCTAAGTAGCTAAGTTCGCGAAGTTCCCGGATAAGTTATGTTAGCGCGCTTCAAAAAGTGAACACCGACAACATGCCAGCGAGCCCTAGCGTAGGGTTTAGGGTTTAGGGTTTCGTGTTTAGGGTTTAGGGTTTAGGGTTTAGGGTTTAGGGTTTAGGATCCCCCCCCCCCCCCCCAAAAAAAAAAACAGTACCCCATACTGCTATTGGGTCATCTTTGGGAACCCTTGAGCAGATCTACTTTTTGGATCCTCGAGTCAGGATCGTTGTATTTCTGTGGTTTAGGCCTGTGCCTCATCAACGAGCTTAGAGTGTTAGATTTTTGTGATTACAGACTACATTCATGAGGTCTACGGGGCCTGCTAGAGCAAGCTGCTAACTTTTGTAAAGCATGAGTCTAAGCTGCTAAACCCCAAACCCCTTC